GGCAGTTGACTGTGATCCTAAAAAATGATCAATTTTTGTGTGATCTAGCTCCCAGTACCTCCCAGAATCTGCCAAGCTTACCATCTGCGAAGCATGTTGACGACCTTCTTCGGCTACATTTTGGTCAGGTAAGCTGTCTTAAATTTCAGAAGTCTGTCACAAACTATCACCATTTTTTATCAGCGGCAGTGGAAGGACTAAAAAAGTTCAACCTGCAGCGCGCATTCAACGCAGGACATTGGATTTTTCAATATTTGTCACGTACGGTAGTAAAGCGTCGGTGTTGAACACTGATGTCATACTGTCGATGATGATAATGAATATTTGTCACCTAACATCACCGATACTTTTGAGTGGATATTCACGCATCCCCACGTAATTCGCTAAGGGGTGCGAAATGCTGTCCGGACCAGCCGAACTTACTGGAGTTCATCACGTTTCTGAATGAGCCTTTTTATGTGGCTAGGTTTTGTGTGATGTTTGCTTCCCACTACTTTGTCTTCTGTTTGTACCTTCAATAGGTAGACAGCATTTGACAGCCCAGTCTAGGCACCTTGTTACTATACCACGCGTGGTCTCAAAAATATGCGGAACAGTCTGAGAGTCACAGCAATCTGATTTCATTATGTAGATAGTACGGGTCCTTGAAGTCCCATTTTGGAACGCCATTCTTTCGAGTTGTGAATGTTGACGTCGTTGTATTAAAATGCTGTTCACAAACAGGGCATGGAGCTGTCTTTGATCAGGAAGTAAGGATCGGTCATGATTTGCATATTTGGCCCGCCTAAACGTTTGTTTTAGGCAGAAACAGTGAGCTAAATCATTGAGAACCATCCACCGTGGGCTGGGTTGTAATGAGGTCTTTTTTTTCGGGTCGCATTAGCTACCAGTCGAGTTATCTAGGCCAACAAGGCTGAGCCTTTTAATAATCGAACATTGCTTCTCTGGACTGATGGTTTCACCGTAACAGGAAGGTCAAGTTCCTGGAAATAATACCAGAATACCCGAAACTTACAGAGACCTCCAAACTCTACCGAAATCGCAGCTGGGAAGCCGTCAAGCATCCGAGCGGAAAACAGCCACCTGCCGCTTGGACGCTCAAACAGTTAGCTGGCAATGACCGACGATGGCGAGTTTTCGGACACGACGTAGAAGGAACGCCTACCACAACCTTCAGTGGTCCTTGATTCATAAGGGGTATGTTCAGAACCTACATTCTGAAGCATGAATTCGTAGTTTGAAGATGCAAAACGCATACCGAAAGATGGTGGGTTGGTGGTCAGTTTATTCACAAGGCTTGCCCGACCTCTGCCTCGCGACTTCCCCTGTCAAGGCATGGGCAACGTGACACTATCCCAGCCCTTGTGCTTCCTTCGGGTGGCATTGCATTTAGGCACCGGAAGGTTGTTACAGCTGAACGATTATTTTTCTTCATCATGCTTATCATCGACAGCATGACATCAGTGTTCAACACTGATGTTTTGACTCGGTACACCCATAATGTATTTCAAAGCTTTACTGTGAAGAAAAGAATAAAGGTGGACAGGAAAGGGGTTTGGTGCTAGTTTACTAAAATCATTCCGAGGTGTGTACACCTCCAGACGCCCCTTCAGGCAGTCTGTGCGGCAGCGAAGCATCAGTGTTGGGTAATAATGTTATGTTCTTATTGGTGGTTATGTTTTTACCTAATTGCTAGCTTTTGTTGACGCATCAGAAAAGGCACGGTTGGTTTGGGAGTGAACAGCTCGCATGCTCATGACGTGAGTTGTTGAATAATCTAAGCGGGTGCCTGCATATTTATGTCGTTAATGGTGTTCTCTCTTCACAAGAAACGTCATTGGAGAGCACTCATATTGTACAGATAAATTGTGGGATATTAGGTTCAACTCAAATTTAGAATGGACCAAAGCCACGAATCCCTAGTTTTCTAGTCCTTATGATGATGTAAACCCATCTCACAGTCGGGTACAACCCATAATTGAATGTTGTCAGTATTCCGTGAAAAAAATATTTCTTGACGTTAGATCGCGGGCAAATAGTCGATTCGACTTCTTGTGAATTTGAACGGGGGATTTCTTCACCTAAATTACTCTGCCTTTCGAAATCGAGCCTTTATCCTACTTTTTTTTCGATATTTTGCTTCCATACGAGGTACCGTGCACGATAATGGTTCACGGTGTTTATGTACGCCTTCTTTCGATTGTCTTGTTTCGCCAAGGCACACATCTGAGGGAATAGAGTACGGTCGTAGCGGCGCCTGTTGCGAATGTGTACAATTATAGTAAGGTCGCAAACGAAACTCGCGTTCACGCGTAATTTAGTTGTTTTCTTTCTAACTCAATGTGGATGTAGTATCTTCCGCTCGACTAATGGAAAAATGTGTTAGCAATGCCCCCCCCCCCAGAAAAAAGTTCTTTCCGTGATTTCTCAGATGGGAAATTTCTTGCACAGGAGTAACGATCCATTCACAAGGCGGAAAATACACGAAAACCACCGAAACAATTTCTTTTGTTTCTTGTGACTACTCAAGAGTTTTAGGTGTTACTGTCATATTTGTATTTATGCGTCACAGAGTCCCGCGACGCGCATGTGTCGTGGAATCAACAACAAACAAAGAAACCGGCCGTAGTAGGAAAATTACGCCTTGGGAGATTAGTCGGTCCAGGAATTGGGTTAGTATGAGGGGTCGCTCTAGAAAATGGGGACAGCCCTGTATATTGTCTGCGACCGATGAAGCTTTCGGCCAGGCTGTCCATCTAAAACTGGTTGGTACGACATGCTAGCTGGATCGCGTACGGGATGTAGTGCACGAGACAGAGTTCGCCAAGGTGATCCCAGATACCGACGTGTTTGTTTCAATGACGGTATGAAAACGGAAATTTGCTGGTCACACACCGACAGTAGTGGCGTGACTTCTTGTCAGTTGTAGATTGAGGATTTCGACATACTTTACACACGACTGATTTATCGATACTTTTGAGGCGAGCCAATGATGAAAGCACAAGTTTTCACAATTCCTCGCAGGATTTCCCACCTTCTACTGTTTATTCAATTTCCGTTTTGCCTCACAGGCTATGAAATTGACTCTTCTACGTGGAGATGACGTTGAACTCCCGGTCGTCGTCTCAATCACAGCACGCGTTCGTGAGCTACAACGAGCCGTACAGTTCGTCACAACCGAATATCTGAATCAACTGACTCGTTCCATGGGAATTTGGGGATCGCCTGGTCAGCGTCCACCGCAACAAGTGGTCCAGGATCTTCTCAGGACGACCAACAAAACAGACGACGTGAAATTCAGTCTTCTATTCACCTCCACCAAGTTTATTAGCTGGAAGCATGTGTGGAAGACAAAATGTCTTGCTCTGGTAAATCCACATGCCGTACCTGCCCAGGAGTCAGCACCCACCATTCTATGCCGGATGGACGATTTGAACGCTCAGTTGCAAGACCGATACCACGTTCGTAACGGAGCAGTGATCACATTTGTTAACCGACTTAAGCGGAAGTGAAATGCCATACTTCTTGTCCACCCTAAATTTGTGTAAATACCGTTCCCTGTAAATATTTAGCGCTTGATTTGCGTTTACGACCTTCTTATTCAACCGTCTGAGCTCGAGATAGCTTAGTGCTTAGGACGCGAACTTATTGACCGGAAGATTCACGGTTCGAATCCAACATCGACTGCTCTTTTCTAGGCTCCAGCTGTACCCCAGCTTACTTCGGGTAGTATGGCACGTATGCACCGACGAGGTTTTGCAGCCGAATGGTTGGTTGCTGCCTGTTGTATTGTGTTCGTGTTGTAAGGACTATAAACATCGGCGGTATTTTGGGGAACTCATGAACAGGATTACAAACGAAAAGAGGGACACAAACTTAGGAGCTGTGGCTAGCAAAAACTCGCAATCAGTTTATAGCGTCACACACCATGCAGGTGGACGGTCTCGTCAGTGTACCGAGTTTCTCATATTTTTAGGCGGATCCGTGCTAGGCGCATCGCTCATTCCCAACAGGATGCAAACTGGGCAGCACTTTTAGGCTTCTCGCGCATCGCTCATTCCCAACAGGATGCAAACAACTGGGCAGCACTTTTAGGCTTCTCATCGCTTTACTAGGTGAAATCCCAATTAGCTGATCCTGTTCCGTCTCAACTAGCCGTTCGACACGAACTCAGTGGTGTTTTCGTAGCACAAGAGCCACCTGATCACAGCCTGCATGTATGTGGTGCGTAAGCGATCACTTGACAACGAGGCATAATCACCAGGGAAGCAAATAAAACTTGTCTACGGTGGTTTGAAAATGCACTACGCGTGCCCAAACATCGTTTAGCAAAGACGCGTTTTACTTCTCATCGATACTGGCAAGATTCGAGGACGGGCCACGCAAAAACATAACGATCAGGAGTGAGCTGGGTGCTGTGGGATCGCACCTTCTTGACTAGAGTCCACAGATTTCCACTGGCACGCGGTTAAAAACCCTGCAAGACATGGATGGCATTTGACCGATCTCAACAGCGTTCATGCTACTACTTTCTAGCCCGACCACCTAGCTATAGTTCATCTGTCGTTTTGTCCTCGAGTCTTATGAGATGAATTTCGCAAAGCAATTTGGGTGCCTTAATCCGATATGGTGCCCAGATATACTTATCCCGCTGCTGCTCGAACATACAGACATCTTGCCATCGACCAACTTCCTTACAGCTATGGGACTTTCTTATCTTTCCCTTTTTCTATTTGGCAGTACACTCCTTGTGTTTTAATGCATTTTAGCATAAGCGTTTGCTACTTGTACATTACTGTCGATTATGATGACAGTATAATGACGATTGACCAAAACTACTGGGACAAACGAAACAGCGATGTCTCCCATCTGATTCTCACGTGATATTCGCAGTTTCATTCATCCTAACGCGCGACCATTGCTTGCAAAAAATTGACACTGGCATCCGATTGCTGGCGCCGTTTAGCCCATTTGATTACGTGGACACACTACTAGATGGCTAACAGTAGTGAAAAGGTAAAAGCAGTTTAACGCCAAAAGACTTAGAGAATGTCCCGATTTGCAGTTTGGGGCGCTATACTGTCCGGAGTTAACCCGTTTGATTCGTGAAGTTCAGACACACCGACACTCTAGAAAAAACAACCCTTTATTTCAGGGGAAATCTAATATACGTTGTAGAGTAGCCGACGAACATGAAAACATCTTGGACGTCGTAAATACGTGAAGTCAACGAGAAATCGGAAGTAGACAAGAGGATGAAATGTGATAATCAGTAGGATGCCACAGCAGTATGTACAAAATCACTCGTCATTCAGAAGGAACTGGAAATCGAGGCTATGTGATTGTTCGATTATACCGGTCTCCGACCTTCTCTCGATGCCACAGATCAAAGGCTGTTGCCAGGGCTTGAATGGCTTCAGGAACATCCGATCGCGGAATGTCCAACTCCATGGTTGCGCGTCCCCTCCAATATAATCGGTAAGCATGGACGACTCGCAACTAAAATAATAATCATTAACCATATTAATCGAATAGGGGATGCGTTAACGAGATCAGCTAAGTTGTGATTACATCCAGGTAACATTCTCTGGGCGGCTGAAGGTGAGTAGCGGTTTCAGCGAATCACTAGACTGCTGATTCACAAGTTCGCCTTGGCTAAAAGTGGCCGGAGTTCCACCGCGAACGTACTTCAACGCTGTGTGATTGCCTATGGGACTAGTCCATGCATTGGTTTCGAGGCACAGCATCCATTGCTATTGACCCGCAGGTTTCACATTGCTTTTTAGTGGCAGTGCATATCAACGAGATATGCGCCCCCCCCCCTCGGCGGCCGTCAAAGCACACTGGACCAAACCGTTAAACCTTCTTTATGAGAAAGTAGTCGACTACTAAGTGGAAGACCCATGGTCAGAATCTCTCGAGTTTCGACAGATGTGTGCTGATGATGCCTCCAACACGCATAGAACAACCGTACGACTTTCCAAAGCAATGGCTTCATCCGTGGTATGAAATCTTTATAAAAACGTTTTGTTAGACAGATTCCCACGGTTGGCGTGTAAGCGCCCGGTAATATAGACCACACTTCAATGTATACCCTTTGCCACTTTCTGATAGCGTGTCAAAAGACGATATGAAGTTCGGTGCATGGACTTTCAACGCAAGTATCAACTTGCTATCGGAAATGCCTCTACTGCCTTAGATGCCAACTAATTAGTCTGTGGCAGTTCAAATGCCACGGAGAGACGGTCACATGGGTACGAGACGATGTGAACGGTACCCACCAACGACAGCTCGGTGCCGGTTGCTCCGACAAAATTCACATGGGTACGAGACGATGTGAACGGTACACACCAACGACAGTTCGGTGCCGGTTGCTCCGACAAAATCTGGGCGGTCCAACCCGTAGAGAAGTTGACCTGCCAGAGAGAATCCATAAAAAAACTAATTGCATCCATGAAGTCCGCTAGGTCTCGCTGCTCTTGGTCTGGCTGCTCCCCTTTGGCCTTCCTGGCATGGTTGCACCTTGTGGAACGAAGTTCCAGCCAGTGTAGCCCGCAGGATCGTTGCAGCACTGAAGCCCGACCACCACGTCAAGGTGGCAGCTTTAGGTCGGGCAGTTACAGACTATTGGACAGGGGAGCAAAACTCTCATATGCATTTTATTTACAAAAAACTGAACGCGTCTTCCTGAATATTCATTAACTGTTGCCCAAATTCAAGCAAATGATACAAAGCGACTCCGGAAATTCCGCAACCGATCCCCATTTCAAGAAGACGCAAAGCGAATTTACAAGGAAACATACTACTCGCATGCTTCCCCCATCAGTAGTATCACCGTTACACTAGTAGGTATCGGTTACGCCGCAGTCATTCTAACGTAGTGTGAACGTGCTGGGTGACTTACCGGTTCATCGTAGATAAACGTCTTTCCTGTTCTGGTGTAAAAATAGAACTCTGGGGCGTGTGGAGTACTGTTCGAACTGAAACTGGCCTTTTCAATCAGTAGCTCCCGTTTGTCCTTTATGGGGGAATTTTCCGGAAGACGAGCAAACACTTCCTCCAAAATCGCACCGGCCGTATCCAGTGGCTGTGTTAGTTTTCCAGAGCAAAAAAAACATGAGTATTGATCGGAAGTGGATTCAGCTGTTAGACACAAAGCAGGAGCAATCAAACGAAAGTCACCAGTTTTTCCACCAGCAGGAGATTAAGCATGAATCGCCCTATTTGTTGAGCGACACCTCATACAATGGCTTAATCGAACTCGGAAACAATGTGTAAGTTGTGGACTAAAGAGGAGTAGGGATAGCGTGGTTGCGTTGCCCAGTTCTTAGTCTGTTCACTAAGCATGGCACTTGGATTGCGAGCGTTCCATCACCGATCGAGGTAATGTCGACATTGCGGGGTTGACTGATAACTACTGGACTTACTAACAGCAAAGTCCGTGGCTCGAAACCAACCCGACTGCTTCTGTCTAGGCTTGTGTAACCTGGGAGTACCTCAGACTTCGTGCTTCCTTCGGCTGGCAGACGTTCACTATTATTATATGGTATTGTGAATTTAGGTTAAACTTTGGGTTTCCGTAATGAAAGCAACCGCACATACAGCAGAGGGAAAAGAGTGTTCTCTACTTCGAAACAATGTGTTTGTTCAACCGAGACTAAAATTCGGGAGGCCAGAGCACCTTTTGCAAACCTCCAAAACCTATGGCGCCTGCATGAGGTCGCTTCGTTTGTCAAGGGAAAATTGCAACAGTCCGATCCATACTGTCTGATGCGTTGAAAACACCGATAGTGCATGCAGTCAACCCATTCATGGTTAGACCAGAAAGCACTTGGAATTCGCGAGACGTTATTGAAAACTGGAATAATTATGGAGACCCTACATTCTGAAGATGTCTTCCTCAATTGTGTACAGCATGAAGAGCTTCTGTCAGGCAAACCACCAGTTTTTTTTCACATGGTTGAAAAAAGGTAGACAGAATTTTGAGGATTTTATGCAGGATACTCATTCGTTTACTGACGCGTAGTCAAGATGAGCTCTAGATTACTCAGCGGATACGGCGAGAACTGAGCGTCTGAATGGCGCAGGAATGTGGGCTAGGTATATTGTTTTACTCCCCTGAACACTACTTGTAGCTAATCAGCCCGAAGTACATGAAGCCTACTGACCTCGAGCCGGCCACCCATAACGGAATGATTGGGCCCTATGTTAACCATGCTCCGGACTGAGTAAGCAAGCCTGTCTCTAAATATTTTTTCGTTGCGTCACCGTGTATGCTTGTCGTGTGTACTGAACTGTGCCTCGTGCTAAAACAAAGCGACAAGAAATGTAGGAGGAAATTCGTTCTGAAAGCACGCGCAGACGGGGATGAATTGCACTCATGTTCCATAGTTTTGGCTGGCTAGTTTTCCAAACAGACAAAACAGCGCAAAGTCGTGAAAAGGGTGATGGGCTACTTCAATCCGAAATCAGTAGTAGAACCATAGTGGAATACATTGCATTCACCTCCAAAGCAACACTGGTGGATGAATGACGGACGGCCAGTCGGAAATAATAGACATCCTAATGTAAAACGACGATGAGTTGACGGTAAGACTGTTTTCGATCCCGATCGGTCCTATCAAAACAGGGGTGACTAGCATGCAAGAACAATATGACGGCTTGCAAAGTGATCAGCATGCTTCCGAAAAAGGGAGGAACATATGGGACAAAGGCATCAAAGTGCAACGTAAGCTATTGCTTGTCAGGTGACAACGGTACAATGCGAATCAATGTGAGAAGTCAGACTTCGCTGAACGAGTAATAGCAAGATCTAGGTGGACACTGAGGTCTTGCTTGGCAAAATGTTACGAAACGCTCGGCTGAGTACCATCCGTTAGAGTACGGAATACCTGTGAACTACTGCCATGGGCAACTGAACTACATCCAGTATGCTATTTGAAGAGCGATGTCAAACTGCGCATCGACAATTGGGACGGGCAACTAGCGTCTGATCCTTTTTCTATCCTCGTTTCGGGGCGTAACACAGTGGTTTGAGTGAAGTACGTTCTTCAGGGTCTGATCACTCCAAGAATTCAGCCATACCATTCACACGAGCAGCGTACTTGTATTTTCCATGTTCACTTTGGCGTGGAACCTCTTACAGACCTTTTCCAATAGATAGATTTCAGTGGGAACCACAAACTGTCGCTTTCCCGGGCGATATACGATCCAACTTGACACCGTATTAACACTTTTGTAACATAATATTCAAACAACATCGTATTTGATTGAGTTGATTCAAGAACCTCCCACGGCTGCCCTACTTCCAGAACGAAAGCATAAAGGTCTCATACCATACACCTTTTTCTGAGGAGGCCCATTTCACCACCTTCCAGCAGCAGTGTACCCGCTTAACTGAAAAGGAGAACGTAAGCGTCAAGCACCATGACCTGGTTGTCGGTCTATTGGTTGTCCATTCGAACAATACGATCATACCCAGATTCCGAACAAACGAGAGCGAGAACAGGACTCAGACGTGGCGGATTCGTCAAGAAGGACCACTGTCGGAATTTTCTCTGCTCGTTCCATACTACCTTGTACTTGGGCGCGCAAAGGTCAAAGACACACCCTCGTTGGCAGTGAGGACGCAACTCAAAAGAAATCCTCTGAGATGGTTCAAAGAGACTGTCTGTCACCAGCAGTTCGCACACACTAGAATGTCCCCGGGAAGCAACGCACCTCCTACTGGCCTAGCGAACAAAGTGACCAGAATTTAAGCTGCGGTTACAAACAAAAAAGAAGCAAATTCTTCTAAGTTCTGGAGATATTTGCGGTCTTCCCAACCACATCAGTCACTGTACCGTACCGAAACGCGATTGCCGGCACCAGACTAATCCAAAACAGACCCATCTTACTAGCAGTACTCTGGCGTTTTGGTAGATAATTTAGACCTCCAAGGTGTTGCCTTTACACTGAGTGGTCGTGCCAAAGAAGCATTCTTTGTCGAGACACTAGCATATTCCAGACAATCAGTGGTTCGCATTAGACACATCCCACAAACCTGAGAGTTAATGACGTAGAAGAACGTCATCACCTGTATCAAACCCAACCGTTAAAGATGAGTTCTACAGAGAACGACTCAACCTGCTGCTGCAGGTCGTTGAGACGTTCGAGTGACCACACGCTTTGCCGATGTGCGTTGTGTGCACTGGAGACGATATTACAACTCGTATGTCGCTCGTTACTCTTCTGTTCCGCCACTATGATGTATCCAAAGGTTGTTTAAGACATCTTCTAATGGGAACAAAGGAAAACTGTTACGATTGTGTATTATATATTACGGAATTTCCCACGAGGCCACGAAAAAATGTTTATGATGATGCCAGAAAAACCGAGCCGCGGGTGATACGGAACGCATTAGCCAGGGAACCAAATCTTCCCCAAAGATGGACAGATCGCCGCTGATGTCAAACTACTCATTTTCAGATTGACCCCAAAAAGGCCCGTTACTGACATTTTTCCCCAAGGGGAGTTGTTGGGGATATCCGTATCCCCCAGAACCATTCGCTTTCCGAGTTATGGTCAATTTTATTTTCTGAAAATTTGAACTTTTGAATTTCGCACCCTTTTCGCCATGTTGCGCCCCTAATCCGAATAGACCGCGCTTTTCTCCTATTGGCCAGTTGGACTTTGTGTGCACTAAGGAATTTATTGTTGTCCAAGGTCGCCCAAAGTACATACATTCGACGGTGCTCCCAGTGTACTTCGCCTTTGGTTGAGGCAGTAAAAGCTCTTCTCTGAAGATCTTGTCCTCCTCTCTGCGCTCGCCTCATATCTTGGGATTTGTGCACTCGTTCCCAAGTCGCGTATAGTCGTTGCTCGTATCCGTTCAGATACATAACAGCGTCTCTCATCGTTTAGGCATCTAGTCCGCGTGAACCATCCAGTAGTGCCGAAGCCTTGACTCGTATATAATGTTGGGAGTAGTGTATTCATCACAGTGGACAACTGGAGACGTGGCTTACTGCGGCCGAAGACAGTATCGGGTATTTTGGTCTTCACGTAGCTTACGAACCCCGTCGCTGGCAGCGGGGGTGAGTAGCAATTTCCGCAGATTTGGAAGCTGTACAAACAGAGAACGGTTGGCTAAGGACGGGAACATAGGATAAGCTGCACCGAGCCGGTAAATTCTAGAGGACCGACCTCATGTTGCAACCAGGGTACAAAATCATGCTTGCATCGTACAGGACCTCCAATTGCGAATGTGAATCGGCTAGAGACCATCGTTCACGAAACGTTCCACCGTAAATACAGGGCGGGCTCTTTTAAAATCTCAAACAAAGAAACTGAGGCTGGCGCGGTGGAAAGGAACAACACAGAAGTTACTAGAATGCCCCAAATGCCAGCCCCATATGGGAACAAGAGTTCATATAACGGTGGTGACAAAGGCATTTTAGGCACCGTTATGTGCGGAAAAAATAGCTGATAATTTTGACACCTCGGCTTCGCTAGCGATCTAACTACTTATAAGTAGTAAAACATTTATTCGCATACGTTTACGAAGCTTATCAAGAAACCGCTTGCTGATCCATTCAAAGCTCTTAAAAGTGTTATCGAATTGTGAGAAGTCCATCGTCATCTTTCCAACGGTTGTGAGTAGTGAAAGGGACCCGATGGATAAATACATGTGGCACCCTCATTCCGGGTTGGGCCTGATAACGATTTGGGGGCGAGATGACTTAAGTGGTTTGAGCGCGAATTTACTGACCGGAAGGTCCGTGGTTCGAATCCGACCTCTGCCTCTCGACATCCCCTAGCTAGACTTGGGCAACCTGACAGTATCCCAGCCCTCGCGCCTCCTATGCGTGGCAGTTAGGCGCCGAAAGGGTGCTACAGCTGAACGCTTTTTTTAACGATTTACGCATAGCAGGGTATGAACAGGGCGCAGAGCAGGGTGGTGAACATCCCAGTGCAATGACTGATCGCAAAGTGCGTCGTGCAGGTCGAATGTGCAGTATGTTGGAGCAGTTTGAGGTCCAAACACTTCCCTACGACAGAGTGCTCGGTCATAGCCAGAGATAGCAGAAGGATACGCATGCGACAGAGCGCATCCGTTTGAATAATTGCTGACCGGGAAAACGGAGTCATTCCCTCTCCAGATTCACGATGTACTAAGTTGAAAAAACTAGGAACTCAAACGTGCACAACGGGGAGTGATAACACGGTACGACTCACCTGTTTCATTGTGGAAGTGAGAATACAACTGGAAGGTACTACGGGGAACCTCTAATTGGAGTGAGGCAAGAACACATAAACGAATTCCTTTATTAAAACTTGACCAGACCGAGAACACAAGACAATTCGTATCGGTAGTTTCTGAGTAGAGAATGTATTCTTTTAATTAGTGCCTGATGTGAGAAACTGAGTACTACAAAGGATTTTATTAAGCGTTCCGTTTTAGGGAAGGGTATCCATTTCAAGACTACAGAACGTGTGCGTTCAGTTACCAGCACAAAGCTACCGGTCCCATTCGAAGTATCACAATATCAGGTGACACACGCCCGAAAACCCCGAAAGATCTCTTCATTGTTGAAACACCTCTACATCCTAAAGGCTAAGCTAAGAAAAAATTGAGCGCCATCTTATATCAGTTTCCATCAGTTAGGCATAATCTGCAACACAGCAGAAATGTCCACAAACTACAGGATCCGCTGGCCATTCATGCGAGGTAGCGGCGGGTGAACCTCCCACGCCTGAACAATAGTGAATGTTGACGACAGACTTTGAGGTTCACGACCTACGAATTCACAGAAATCCATGTGAAAAGTCCAAATCCTACAAACACGTGGTTTGAGTGCTAAGAGGCTTGAAAAAACGACACCAGATGCTTCTTGGTGCTCATCCAGGAGGTAGCACGAAGGGTTGAAAACTTCCCCGTCCACAAGAGACCGATTCACAAGCTTAAGTTCAAACCATGAACCAGGGCAGCTTTAATCATTGAGCTATCTGAAACTCACACCTGAGACTGACCAGAAAAATCTCAGCGAGTGGGAAGCTTACTTGACCTACTACAAGGTTCCGTACAATCTTTGATCGCCACTTGCCACGTGATGGTAACTTCCAGAAAATCGCCATGAAATGAAGTCAAAAACAAAACGTTGTGTTATTCTGAATTCGATTCAGTCACCGAAAAGTGTGAGGTGACCGGAAACTGGTCTGATAAGTTTAGTCCAGTTTGAAACACAAGGCAGTGGTAAAGCATGACAGCACAATCATGTTCACCCTGTTTCAAGATACCTGGTCGGAATGCCAGTCACACGAACCAGTGTGGTGGAATTCCTACAAGAACGTCTGACGACGCTGGACAAAACAACACAGGCGTGAACAAGGTCCCAACCACCGAAAAACAACAGTTGAGGAAAATATCAAGACAATGGAACTCGCTACACGTCACGGTCTTGTCACCTGTGTTGATTCGATTTCGGGGAGTGGGGTGTTAGGCAGGAGTCCACACGGTTCCCGCTATGCCGCACGTCTTCAGGCGCTGCTACGGCCGATAAGCCTAGCCCGCACGAGACTGGCCAAGAATTCGGGACGCTTGCCGGTCCGGCATCAAGACGAGACCTGATGGGTCGAGAATCTTGACCCAACAGCCAATCATGACCCAGTATTGGCCAAATGCCGGTTGCCAATGGCGCATCCAGAACGCGTCAGAAATTCCAGAAAGTTATAACCGCCTACACTATATATACGAAGCACTGTACAACTGTTCCTGACTTCGTTTTGGGCATTAATAGACCTTTTGCACCTTTGGTGTGACGTGAAAGCTAGCTTGGGAGGCTCAGACCGAGAACTAAGCTGAGGAAAAAGACCGGTACTACAGAGGGGACGGTTAACCGCCCAGCTACGAACATATTGTGAAGTTGATGGGCGAAGAAAGTGTAAGTAGTCCGTAGTTTGTGAATAACGAAAGGAGATTGTGAAAAATCCACGTCCAACACGGAGAACTGGCTTTGACCCAAAAAGATCTCTCCGAGATCAACTAACTGCACGTTGTCTGCTAGTTTGCTCAACTAGCTGAAGATGGGCTGTGAGCATTCGGAGGAGTTCTAGTCCAGCGCAGATTATTCCGTCTTGTGTTGAAGCGCTTCCAACTCATGTGGTCGGTCCATCAAAGGACGTAAGCTACACGGGTGACCCTGGATGTGCTCTGCTTTTTTCTTTCCGAAAAAAAACATCCGTGTTTTTCGAACTGTCGGTCAATCATCATTGAAAGTGAAGAGAAGAGTGCTGCTTCACTGCCATGTCAATCTATTCGAATAAAGCCTCATAACAGAAATGGAGAAGGCACTAGGACAAGGGGGATTTTACGTAAAAGCCCGCTGAGGAAAAACACCCTACCAATCAGCGTTCGATCGGACTAACCAATAACCAATGAGGTTGGTTGGACGGGTGTTGGGTCAAATTCCGTTTTAGTGTTTGTTCCGTGACATAGTTCCGTTTGAAGTCAGCATTCTCTATGAGATTTAGTTGTTTCTTCGAGACTTAGGACGACGAACTGACATGTGCTGACAGCAGACGAGAGAATGTCACTAACAAAACAGTTCGTCCAGACTCACCTGGTCAAATGAAAGACGTCCAACGATTCTGCAGTCCGGAGGCAGTGGTTCACTTATCAACGGTTCACGAATTCCCATTCCAGACCGAAGTGTGGATGCGTGATGGTGTTCGGAGACGGAACTCCTGCGAGACGGCGTCTTGGACTCCCTGCTATGTACTTCGAAAACACTGTCCACGTAGGAATACAGCTGTCGTCGTAGGATGCGATCGACGAGGCTCCTGGCCTGCTCGAGGCTTTCACTGGCAGGTCCGGTGGGCGTGTGAAAACTTCGATTGTACACGTCCCACAGGATGTGGTCGTGTAATTGCAAAAACCTGACCAGATCACCCGAATCATTGCCTTCAAGAGCCTTGAGGCTGAGGGAACGGAATTGTAGCACTGGTTCGATAAATTCCAACATGTCCAGCACCATGCACTGGAGCGAAAAGAAGAAAAGATTGCGCAACTCAGTCTGCCATTCTTTTCTGCTTCGTCCTTATCGCACTTATTTCCACATTTCTTCTCCCTCAGTGGATTTAACGATCCCTGGCTTTTAATTAGAAAGATAAGGTAGTGATCGCACGAGCGAGGTACTGATAAACCTTTCAAAAGCTAGATTCCTCGCATATTTGATTCAAGACGGATAGAATAAATGAAGGCCAATATGTACAGAGCACAGACTTGTGCCGTTAGACATGATGACGTGCCTCCCTAGTTGAGGACTTATAACCACACGGTTCATACCACGTTTTGAAGTCAACAGTTGGCTGCAGATAAGTTCCCGGCAAGTTTAGAACAAGATAAAGGATAGGTAACTCAGCTGGGGTAATCGACGATTCTCACCTCCTTTTGGCATTACTTCCGCCAAGTCCGGTTCAGTGGACTGGTTGTCAAATCCGTTACAGTTTATTGGATGGACTAACTGACTTCCTTCGGCTGCGAAATTCGGTTGTAATGATCATACAACTGATGACCATAAGGAAGTTAGTAGTTAGAGTCGATCTAACTGAACAGGAACAACAAAACCATATAAAGCATGCGCAAACTTTTGAATCTCTACATGGCTACCTACTTCAAATTCCATGGGCAATTATAGTGACAAATCAGAATAGCTCCCACGGGATTACCCTTATCACTGACAGCATTACCGGATGACGATACTGGTGCATCACTGGCGTAAGACTATATCGATTTATTGGAAGGAAAGAAATAGGGTAGCGAGAGGATGTTGCAGCCGAACCATTTAGTCATTTGATATTTATTGACAAGGCTGGATTGGATCAAAACCAACCCTCAGACTTGTGGACGAAGTGATCTATGTGAGCAGCTGTATAAGTTTCGGTGGACTGGTAGGATACGAGGTTATCTCTCGAATCTGGCAGACAAAGGGAGTTTTTGCCAACCTTGGACGGTCATAGCGCTGACATGACGTCATTTTGCCTGCCAAGGTAGTGTTTACACTGCGGTAGTGAGGTCCACACTGCTTTGTGGATAAGAGACGTACGCACAGAGGACCATCGGTGTCTCCGGAGCATTGGTCGGGTCCGGTTGGAACATCGGCTTAGTAATGCTGAGGTACGCCAGATGGTCCTAGGAAGGAACTCTCCCGAAAACAGACGAATCACTCACGCTTTCTAGGTTACACTGGCAGACGAATGTATGCCTCACACAGCTTTTTACGGCCAGCCGCATGGTCAGGAGAACCCATTTGGACACAACCGTAACACTGGTCAACACCGACACCGCAACCCAACCACACATCGATGATATCACCTGGATTGGTGACGAAATGACTACAGTAAAACTGTCCAACTCGAGAAACAACTCTACGATCACTTGTAGTCAAATCCTAGAAAAATGTTTGATTGCAGTGACATCCCCTAAACATTTGATATCAATTTCACCGTGACATTTCATCCTGTTGAACGACCAGTACTTACTGAACCTTATACGTTCTAGGGCTGTATGTGAAACACGCATTAAATCAAATCACACCGTTCATCTGTAGAGCACAGTCATCATATGACCTGCGAAAAAACTACTCAAGACAAACTCACGCTGATCGCAGAAGCGGTTTTATGTTGATACAGTTTCTGGTGAAGGTGCTGTCGTAACCCAAAAGTTCGCAGGACGTTCTCCAATTCTGTATCACGAAACGACAGATGCCAACTGTAGCTAGGTTTGTCTGGGTCATCAGCGACTGTGCGGGTCCCGAACATGACGTCATCATATTCTGCACGTGGATGGGGAGCTGGACGACAAAAGTGCATGAATCGTTCCAAGTCGATGGTGGCCGACCCATGGCCTAGGCCGGCGTGGAGACAATCTCGGAGGAGATAGTCCCATTTATCCACGTCCATACCGTTAGCATGATTGCTAAGAATCTGTGCATCAGTGGTTGAGTTGGTGAAATTGAGCAGGAAAGAACAGCAGTAGTATTAGTCGTGAGATTAATCGCAGCGACAATAATCCCCTAATACGACCGCGTGATTATGTACGGCCTTAAGAAAGTGTCAGGATATTGGTCACATTACCAACAACTGTCGTTTTTTCTAATCTGAAGGATACGTTCGACGCCGTCAACTATAACGTCATGGCGGCATCTGTCGATTAAAGGCATCCTATCTAAATTGTCATCATTCCTGAAGGTGACATACATCAGATCCTATGGAGCCATACGAGTTTACGGCAAGCTCTCGTCCAAGTGCTCGGATAGAACTTTCATCTTCGTTCAGTACTCTTTTGATGTCTAGTTGCCATGCCACACGAAGGAGGCACGAGGACTGGGATACTGCCAGGCTGTCCAAGCCTAGACAGGGGAAGTCGAGAGGCAGAGGTCGGGTTCGAACCACGGACCTTCCGGTCAGTCAATTCGCGCTCTAATCACTTGAGCCATCTCGCCTCTCAAAATGATAATTTCTTTTGAATAAACCAACCAATTCGACCGCAAGATTTGGCATGAGATTCACACCTGCAAACGGAATTATGGCGGAACTGAATTTACTGAACGGAAGGTCCGTGGTTCGAACCCGACATCTGCCTCTCGAGTTCCTTTGTCTAGGATTGGGCAACCTGGCAGTATCCCAACCCTCGTGCTGCCTTTGGGTGGTATGGCAGCTAGGCACAAAGAGGGTGTTACAGCTGAGCCACTTTTTTAGCTGCCAAGTCTCAATGAATGGATGAGGGAAGCTGAGAGTCAGGTAGGCTTCTGCAAACTTGACACAAGTTGATCACGGCCTACAAGTGTTCAATTTGTGGCTTCAAACAGAAGTTTGAAAGATCTGACCTGCTATAAACTTGTTATCCTGGAGCATGCGAACAGGACGAACTAAGGGGTAGTGACACTGACAGATGGTCGGAGGCGAGTGACAAACACCGATTAAGACCATCACCCTCGAAGCACAGTTGCTCGGATTCGACGGCGGTGAACTGGTTGCGTCAAATGTGTGGCCATTCGCAACCCATTTCACCAGCCTCTGGTGTTTGAGTGCGCGACTCTGGAACTGAAGTGAACTAGAGGCCTACCCGGTGTAATTTTGTCGTGAAATAGCACAAAACACCCATCTCATCGCAACCTATTCGTGGAAACTCTGGTTCGAGAACTGAAGTGCTCGATATAAGAAATAATAACTAATCTTTCAGCTGTAGCACCATTTCAGTACCTAGCTGCCATGCGACACGGAGGCACGAGAGCTGGGATACTGCCAGGTCGCCCAAGCCTAGACAGGGGAAGTCGAGAGGCAGAGGTCGGGTTAGAACCACGGACCTTCCAGTCAGTAAATTCGCGCTCTAACTACTTGGTCCATCTCAAAGCGGTAAGCTAAGGTCTCATCAAACCGTATGAGTAAAGTACTGGCGCTGTGGTCCGAATAAAAATACTGGGAACAGTGTACCGAACAAACGAGATCAAGGTTTCGAATGTGTTTGCAAACCAAAGTGCCAAAGACCAACACAAGAAGTAGTATGACGTAATCGATTAGCTGAAGATTCAATCAACTTGAAGAGGTAGTGTTGTACACCACGGAAAATCAGTCGACTACACCTGGGTGAAACAGGGTTGGAAAGTATCCGCAGTTTGAAGGGATTATCGGACAATAACATTGAATCGAGAAGACTCCATAGCGTAGATGATCGCAACAGCCAGCAATCTAGAACCGGATCCCTTCGAGTGCTAGGATGATCTTTGTATTTGATCGGTATGAGATCACTGCGCTCGGTTCAAAAAAGGGATTTTCCTCAAAGAATGGAAAACGGTAAAGGGATAACTGCCCGAAATCCACAGAGAGTAGAGACCGCTTCCATCCTGAATAGGACGGGATTCGGAAAGTTTACTTCATTGCTGAGATGTTGCGTACAACGCGTAGAAACAGGAGCTATGTAAGTGACTCACTTCATACAAATACGGTTTTTCAATCGAGGATTCCTGTGGAAAGTGGGGTAAGGGGAAACGAGGAACACTGAAAAATGATTGAATATTGATAATCAAACTCAAAACTAGCGCTCCAATAGTAATCATTTTCTCTAATAGGATTGATGCAGTCAACATCCCCCTCGTTTTACAACAGATCCCGGGAGATTTCGATAAACTAAGCAGAAGTCGTAGTGTCACGCACAAAAGAAAGACTTTGGTAGCGTCGCACACCGTTAGAATAACACTCGGGGTGGAGGTGTATTCAGCCAAGATCAGCCGTCTGAAAACAGCTGAATGAGGGTCAAACTTTTCGCACTGCATCGCAAAAAAGTCGTTCCGTCGTTGAACTACTTTGGTGCATAAGCGAATTACAAGGGCTGAAATAGTGTCAGACCGCTAGAAGTGTAATGGTCAAATAGACCGTACGATGTTGCCACCTTCTTGTCCTTTAGACCGAGTCCCTCGAAGGGCTCTTTTCGCACAAGCACGTGAAGGGTGGAAGAGAGCCAGAGGCGGTCAAACAATGCCTTGGCAGCGAAGTATGAAGGCCATTACCAGCAAACTCAGCCGCGCTGGTCACTGCCGTCTTCCTGGATGGGGACCCCGAGACGGGCCACATCAATGGTTGGAGACATTGTCAGACGGCTCAGTCGTGCCCTTAATGGCGTTCATGCTGTCCTCCACGATGTGGACCCCGAGACGGTCTACATAAATGGTTGGAGAGACTGTAAGTCATGGCCCAGTCGCGCCCCAAGTGGCGCTCATGCATCCGAGCTGTCGCCTTCAGTGCATAGCTCCCCTCCCAGGCGCGCACTAGACAGCTCACTGACAGTGCAGGATTTGTGCACCAATTTATCAGCTCCCGCCTGCAATGCGCAGCTACCTACCCCCTACCCCCAAATCATCGGTGAACGAAACTGTGGCAGCTATAAACACTGTACGGCGACTACGCGGTTATTGTAGCTGACAATGATGATGATGATCAGTGTTGTGACATCGTAGATCACGAGGTCAAATAATCATCTGGGAGCTGGAGAAGGGTCGTACTAGAGCAATGGGTCAAGCCATTTCTGTATTGTCACGACTTCTTGTCTTATCGACTCACTCACATAGTCCATGCAATTTCATCAAAACTACTTGAAGCTGAGGTTTTTTTAAAAAAAACACTACGACTGATGAACCGGATTTTTCGTTGACCTCTTCACTTCGAATTTAATCAGCTATGGGGACGATTGGAAACTGCGTAAACAGTTAAGGAGATTAAGTGCGCATCATTTCTGGGTGACCTTCAAGTACTAAGGGGAAGCTGATCGGGATACCGGCCTTCCTCAGTGAAACACAAAGTGATGATACACACGGCTAGATGGCAGATCACACGCGCTTCACCACAGTCAAGGAAAACATCCAATTTCTTCTTCACGCTGATGTGCCGTGGGCTACAACTGTCGGAATAGCCAGTTACAAAGCGGCCGGATGCACACACCCGTGTAAAAAGCGGAAACGTAAGGCTTGCAAAAATGGAATGGAAGAGGACAGAGAAGCGTGCACCGTCAGTGCGATTCGTCTTCCAAGGTGAGGTTAACCTGACGCTCCCTGCGTTTGGCTGAATCTATGGCTAACGGCCTATTTCAATGGGGTTCTTAACGTTCGTTTCAGTCAAGATTCCCTGATTAGGTGTTTTTAGGAGTGGGAACTCGAAACAGCTGTGATAAGCTATGGATACGCCGTCCCTTGATTGTTTAAAAATCCTTCTGCCACAGGAACAACCATGGTCACGAGGAGACCTTACCATGGTGTGACGGTTTGTGTACCTCGGCGACCCATTGAGCTATACTAGAGGGTGTCCGCGCGACATTCGCAGAGTCCCTCATACCAGGCTGGTCAATCGTTAGAGGTCTGACAAACACAGTCTCTTGGTCCTCCAGGTTGGGGGTTGGAACACATGTCGCAACTTGTTCAGTAAAAATTGAAATGCATTTTCATCTTCCGCCTTGCGGTCAGGCTTTTAAGCCAGAGGTGTTGGTTGAGGAACCCAATCGCCCTTCTGTCTAGGTCTGGATGCTCTATGAGTATCCCAGCCCACATACAACCACGAATTGCGTTGGTGCTCAACACTGGGGAGGGTGTGAGTGATGATTGGAGTGCCGTAAAGAATGAACAAAAAATGAATCAGTGAACCGCATTGATGACTTACATCGGCACGCTTTTGTGGTGTTCCCATAATTAAACATTTCACCAGGTCCAGATCGATCCCTTCACTCTCCAGGTTACTTTGGATCACCGGGTTCGTTTGAACGATGTGCTCCAGCACCCGGCAGCTTAACTTCTCGTGCTGTAAAGGCCGTGAAAAAAAGAATGACGATCACCTGAAAAAGTGGTAGGCCCCAAACGAAACCCATTCAAATTGCTGGCCAAAGAATGCATGGTCACGTGAGCAAGTAAGTCATGCCCAAGGTCATGTGGAAAAAGTTGGACACATGACTCTAGCAACAGCTGATTTATGGTGGAACTTCACTGGTTATTAGCTCCCCAACTGTTTACTTTGAGATCCCTCATGGTCGAATCGAGCCGTATTAGGATACTTCAACA